AAAGCAAGGCCCAAGAACTACTCATGGTATAGAGTTGATGAGGTCGCTACAAAGACATACAAGCAGGAAGTAATATGTGCATATTATAGGGATATCTAGGATTGGTAGCAGTTGACCCTTGAGTAGAAGTAGTTAAGATTGTAGTGCTTGGGGAAGCATCCTCTCAGGAGTCTGTTCCACAATGCAACAAACCTTGGAAGAAGTTGTCAGAGTAGAATTTCCACCTAATCCAATGGCCTCAATGCACCTAACCTAGCTGTGAATGTCTGGACTTGTGGGAGCAAGAAATGTCATTCACCTGCTAGCAACGTTTTGTCAGTGGGAAAGAGGTTGTAGGGCAGGATAACAATTCATCACCCACAAGGCCATGCAAGCACTTTTGGACTCTATCCCTGAGGCCATTAGTTGACCTGATATCAAATAATCCATGTATGGATATTTATTAAAGCTTAGTTTGGCACAAGGCCACTATTGTGGAGTGCTAAATGAGGATCAGACACTCTGTGGCTTTTATGTCTGCAACAATACAATAAGTGATACTACTTGTATTAATTTAGCACTAATGCACTTGAGAAAGAATTGAATTTATTTTTCCCTGTTTTTTTATCCCATTATCACATATCTCAAAAAGGTCTTGTCACTTTCATGTCATGATGGTTGATGAAAAAAGTGGCTGATTGAGTACTTCTCGTAATGTCCAGAAAAGAAGCAGCAAAATGACTACTGCAATCTTTACCACCCTTGACAACCAGTGAGACCATTTGATTTTCTTATTAGATTGAGTCATAAGAAATTTCTGTTTGTGGGAACTAGTTGTAATGATGAATACATCACTTTAACTCTTTCTTAATTAACACGGTTCCATATGACAATGTTTAATGCAAGGGCAGTGAATTGACAAGGATAAACCTTCACAACTGACCCTAAAAGCTGAGCTCCATGGAAGAAATTTAATGTTGTGCATGTGGTGGGATCATTTGGGTGGGTTATTCATTTAGAATTCGTAAAATGCAATGAAACATTAAATGCACATTTGTATGTGCTGAAGCTGCAACATGTCCATAAACGTTTTGTTAAAATGCACCCTGCACTAGTCACTAGGAAAAAAACATTGTTTTCTTTGTTGACAGCACAAGGCCACATATAGGAAAAATAACCGAGACAAAAATTTTCAAACTTGGTTTGTGTGTTCTACCTGATATTCACTTGTCCTTGCACCAACCAATTAATATCTTTTATTTCGATTACTCAAAATGCTTTGATGGGGAAAATTTTCTCTAATGAAAACTAGATTCTGGAATTTGTCAAAACCTTTTTCAGCTCAAAACCTGCGGGATTTTTCTCAAAAGATATCAAAGGATTGCCTAATAAGTTAGAACAAGTCATTGTAAATAATGGTGAATATATAATTGAATATAATAAATATAACAAATGATATAAATATAACAAATAAAATAAATATGATAAATATAAAATAAAATAATTGTAATTTATTTTTTGAAGAATCAAAGTTGATAAACAAAAATGGAAACTATTTATGACTCAAACAGAGCGACAGATAAATAGAGAGAGAGAGAAGAGGAGAAGGAAAAAACTGATAAGTAGATATGAACAGAGAGATAAATAGATGAAAAAATATGATCAAACTTAGATATTGACTGTGATATAAACAATAGATATGAACAGACTGAGATAGATAGATAGATATGAACAGACTGAGATAGATATGAACAGACTGAGATAGATATGAACAGACTGAGATAGATATGAACAGACTGAGATAGATATGAACAGACTGAGATAGATATGAACAGACTGAGATAGATATGAACAGACTGAGATAGAACAGACTGAGATAGATATGAACAGACTGAGATAGATATGAACAGACTGAGATAGATATGAACAGACTGAGATAGATATGAACAGACTGAGATAGATATGAACAGACTGAGATAGATATGAACAGACTGAGATAGATATGAACAGACTGAGAGATATGAACAGACTGAGATAGAACAGACTGACTGAGATAGATATGAACAGACTGAGATAGATATGAACAGACTGAGATAGACATGAACAGACTGAGATAGATATGAACAGACTGAGATAGACTGAGATGAGAGATATGAACAGACTGAGATAGATATGAACAGACTGAGATAGATATGAACAGACTGAGATAGATATGAACAGACTGAGATAGATATGAACAGACTGAGATAGATATGAACACTGAGATAGATATGAACAGACTGAGATAGATATGAACAGACTGAGATAGATATGAACAGACTGAGATAGATATGAACAGACTGAGATAGATATGAACAGACTGAGATAGATATGAACAGACTGAGATAGATATGAACAGACTGAGATAGATGAACAGACTGAGATAGATATGAACAGACTGAGAGATAGATATGAACAGACTGAGATAGATATGAACAGACTGAGATAGATATGAACAGACTGAGATAGATATGAACAGACTGAGATAGATATGAACAGACTGAGATAGATATGAACAGACTGAGATAGATATGAACAGACTGAGATAGATATGAACAGACTGAGATAGATATGAACTGAGATAGAGACTGAACAGACTGAGATAGATATGAACAGACTGAGAGATATGAACAGATGAGATAGATATGAACAGACTGAGATAGATATGAACAGACTGAGATAGATATGAACAGACTGAGATAGATATGAACAGACTGAGATAGATATGAACAGACTGAGATAGATATGAACAGACTGAGAGACTGAGATAGATATGAACAGACTGAGATAGATATGAACAGACTGAGATAGATATGAACAGACTGAGATAGATATGAACAGACTGAGATAGATATGAACAGACTGAGATAGAATATGAACAGACTGAGATAGATATGAACAGACTGAGATAGATATGAACAGACTGAGATAGATATGAACAGACTGAGATAGATGAACAGACTGAGATAGATATGAACAGACTGACTAGATATGAACAGACTGAGATAGATATGAACAGACTGAGATAGATATGAACAGACTGAGATAGATATGAACAGACTGAGATAGATATGAACAGACTGAGATAGATATGAACAGACTGAGATAGATATGAACAGACTGAGATAGATATGAACAGACTGAGATAGATATGAACAGACTGAGATAGATATGAACAGACTGAGATAGATATGAACAGACTGAGATAGATATGAACAGACTGAGATAGATATGAACAGACTGAGATAGATATGAACAGACTGAGATAGATATGAACAGACTGAGATAGATATGAACAGACTGAGATAGATATGAACAGACTGAGATAGATATGAACAGACTGAGATAGATATGAACAGACTGAGATAGATATGAACAGAGAGATGAGAACAGACTGAGATAGATATGAACAGACTGAGATAGATATGAACAACAGACTGAGATAGATATGAACAGACTGAGATAGATATGAACAGACTGAGATAGATATGAACAGACTGAGATAGATATGAGACTGAGATAGATATGAACAGACTGAGATAGATATGAACAGACTGAGATAGATATGAACAGACTGAGATATGAACAGACTGAGATAGATATGAACAGACTGAGATAGATATGAACAGACTGAGATAGATATGAACAGACTGAGATAGATATGAACAGACTGAGATAGATATGAACAGACTGAGATAGATATGAACAGACTGAGATAGATATGAACAGACTGAGATAGATATGAACAGACTGAGATAGATGAACAGACTGAGATAGAATGAACAGACTGAGATAGATATGAACAGACTGAGATAGATATGAACAGACTGAGATAGATATGAACAGACTGAGATAGATATGAACAGACTGAGATAGATATGAACAGACTGAGATAGATATGAACAGACTGAGATAGATATGAACAGACTGAGATAGATATGAACAGACTGAGATAGATATGAACAGACTGAGATAGATATGAACAGACTGAGATAGATATGAACAGACTGAGATAATGAACAGACTGAATAGACTGAACAGACTGAGATAGATATGAACAGACTGAGATAGATATGAACAGACTGAGATAGATATGAACAGACTGAGATAGATATGAACAGACTGAGATAGATATGAACAGACTGAGATAGATATGAACAGACTGAGATAGATATGAACAGACTGAGATAGATATGAACAGACTGAGATAGATATGAACAGACTGAGATAGATATGAACAGACTGAGATAGATATGAACAGACTGAGATAGATATGAACAGACTGAGATAGATATGAACAGACTGAGATAGATATGAACAGACTGAGATAGATATGAACAGACTGAGATAGATATGAACAGACTGAGATAGATATGAACAGACTGAGATAGATATGAACAGACTGAGATAGATATGAACAGACTGAGATAGATATGAACAGACTGAGATAGATATGAACAGACTGAGATAGATATGAACAGACTGAGATAGATATGACTGAGATAGATATGAACAGACTGAGATAGATATGAACAGACTGAGATAGATATGAACAGACTGAGATAGATATGAACAGACTGAGATAGATATGAACAGACTGAGATAGATATGAACAGACTGAGATAGATATGAACAGACTGAGATAGATATGAACAGACTGAGATAGATATGAACAGACTGAGATAGATATGAACAGACTGAGATAGATATGAACAGACTGAGATAGATATGAACAGACTGAGAAAGTGGCAACAAGTCATTGCAAATAATGGTGAATATATAATTGAAAAAAATTTTATTGTAATTTATTTTTCAAAGAATAAAGTCAATAAACAAAAACGGAAATTATTTATGACTTAACCTAATAAAATTGCAATCGTTATTATCACAGAAAATTAGAAATGTTTCTTTTCCTTTTCCAGCATTATTGAAAAACAAGTGTTGACCACTGGGCAGTGGAGAAAACCGCAGTTGTCTTCATAATGACCTCCACTGAAGATGCCAGTCCTAGTGTGGGCACTTCTGAAATTAATTTTGTCGAAGTCAAGTTGGATAAGGAACAAGCAGATTCCAAATTTGACAATGCTGCCAAAAACGGTCGAATGTCTGTCTTTTGCAAAAAATGCTGCCTCTGTTTTGATTCAATTACGACATCCAAGAATCCATTACCTGAAAACCCATCAATCTGCCAGAGGATCAGATACACCTTTTTATGTCCACCCCATGGGATTATAGGTTCTTATATCACGACTATTTTCATTTTTGCCATTCTCTACGCTGTTTTCTGGTCTCTGCTTGGGGAATCTGCATTGCCGCGCTCAAATATCTTTGGATTATGGGTTCTTTTTATTTGTTGTATCATCGGTGGATACATCGTACAGTTTATTAAACTACCTCCATTGCTTGGTAAGTATTTACCTTTTTTTTTTTTTTTTTTGAAAACTTTTTATTTATTTCTTTAGAACATCAAACTGTTGTGTGCATTGACATTTTCAATCTTTCTCTACATTTTTTGAATCTTGGATATTGTGGAATTACAACAAAGAATCCGAGTATTAGAAATAAGAGAAGACAGAACCTTCCTAAGCATTCCCAATGTAGATCACAATCACAACTCCCAATAGTCGTAGGGGCACCAAATGTACTGCAGCTATAGCAGAAGTGGAGTGTCTTAGGCAAGATAACCTGACAGATCCTAAACCTCCTCAGGTTGGTTTAAATTCAGTTTTTCTTCTCCTAGACTGGTTGTCAACCAAGGCTATAGGGCTCAGTCTGTCCTGCTATTTACCTGAAACTGGGTAGAGAAGAGATGGATTTGTACCCTTTCCCAAGGGTATTTATACATAAGTGAATATGACAAAGACTCTCCATAGAAATAGCAATAGATCAGGGATGTCTCATTTGTAAGAAAAGCATTGTGGAGTGGAAAATAATTTGTCACCTACAAGGACATGGCAATGCTTTTTGGAGTCTATCAAGAGTGGAAAGTGGCAGTAGTACTCCATATATGTGCATCAGAGATAGACAGCAATAAAACCGATTCTTTTTTTTTTTAAAAAAAATATTGTTCTGAAGATTTTAACAATTTACAATGATTTTTAGAATATGAGTGAGGTCTAAGAAATGAAATACCTATTTATCCCTGATGACAGAAACAGGAAATGCAATCAAATTGTTCTTTGAAAAGTCCTGCAACATGTGAGCCATGGCAACCACAAGAATATCAATAGCATTGATGGAAACCTTGATAAAGAACTGGAGAGATTACCATTCCCAATTTGAAGGCGCCATCTAGAGAACTCTTGTTCATTATTATTTGCTCTTGTGTTTTGGGCTAGTCACAGTTGTAGAAAATGATGCTATATATTAGATTGTTTCAGGTAAGTGTCTACTACAATAGCAGGAGGAGCCCGAGGAACAACTGAAATCTCCTCCAAGCAGGATCACTTTACCACCAAACAAGACATCAACTTCCATAATATCCTGCAAGCATTTACCTATTGTATGAAGAGTGTAGCCTTCTTTCATTTGATATATGAGTACTAGTTGAGATTTTAGGTTAGTCTAAATTTTATTTAAATTATATTTTAAGAATTATTAAGAAAGTTGACTTAAAATGAAAAAAATAAAAGCCTGCAGTAAATTAAAACAGATTGCAACCATGAGATGAAAGCTGAATTTTACAGAACAGACAAATTATACTCTAATAAAATAAATGTGTATGAAATGAAGACAAATTCACAAAGATGAAGATAAAAAAAAATTAATTTAAAAAGGTCATTTGCAGTTCATGGATGAATTTGTCCTCAACATATTGTTCAGTCACCAATTCCCGATTTTATGTCCAGTAGAACGTTATATATTTAATATAAATCTTCCCTGAAAAGAAAAGTTTCCTAACATCAGTTAACATTGACTTGCATGATCTGATGTAACATATTTGATGTAGGCTTAATGATACTTATTCTAAAACTTTTTAAAATCTGTTTATATTTTCAAGGTATGCTTATTGTGGGAATAATATTGAAGAATGTCCCATACATTGATATTGGCCAGGACATTGATCCAACATGGTCAGGTATTCTCAGGTAAGTTCAATAACTCTTCACCATCATTATCAAAATAAAAGCTGAAAAATGCTTCAAGATCATTAAGTTTCAATTGACAAAAGTGGTAATTGGAAGATGAGCCGTTTCCATACAGGAAACATTAGTCATTTATTGATAAAACAGTGTGACTCTCAGTTGAGATTTATAAAGTCTTTTTCTTAAAACAGTTTTTCATAAAAAAAAGACTTCCCAAATTTTCTGGAAGTTTTCTTTCCATCCTTTTGTTTGCAGTAGTGTGGAAGATCAACATCAACATCTTGATTTTATCATTATTTTACCTTCTAGTTATATAGGTTACCCATTTTTGTTGTTGCTGCTATTGGAAGTCTTCAAGTGATGTTGTTTCCTGTTATTTGGTAAAACTCTTTGCAATTTTGTAGCACCAATCTTTTTGGTCTGATGAAGGATTGTCTTTAAGACAAAGGATTTATTCACTTAATGCCATTTCTGATCATTGGTCTAAGAAAACAGTTGTATGTCAATGATAATTTCATCATTTCTGAACGAGTTTGATGCCATGTATGACAATATTCAGTCCCCCCACGAGGGCGTCGTGGCACAAGGCCTTTTTTTAACGTGGGCATTCCCGAGCCATTAGGCTCGCCAAAAAATAACCCATTTGAACCCCAGATAAACGGGTTCAGGGGCGTTTTACCTCCCGAAGAGACTCCGCCCTTCGGCGTAGCCTCCTTCGGGTTCCTCCCGCCCGTAGGAAGAGAGTTTAACCGAACAGTTGGTTCAGACTTGAACAACTGACATGTATGACAGTCACATGAGAGTCATGATCTGACAAGGTTATTTAAGAACAGGGTTCTTAGGTTAATATTTGGGTTTTATGACTGAAAAGATTCATTTACTTGAAGCAATTTTTGATCATTGATCTGATAAAATGGTTGTATGCAGATAATAGTTTAAGCATTTTTGAACAAATTGGATGCTATGTATGGCATCCACATGAGTCTTCATCTGAGATTATTTAAGAACATAACTCAAGTTTTCAGGTTAATATTTTGGTTTTGTAGTATCTTACATTCTTGGGCAAAAGTGAAACCTGAATGGTACTTAGTTCAGAGGTTAAACAAGTATCTTAATTCTTGTTGTTTTGACCCTTTAAGCTTAGAAATTAACTGGAAAAGAAGTAAAGGACCTTCCATGTCTAGAAAAGCCTTATATAGTTGAAATGTTATATTTCAGCATTTCATGTAAATTAATTGATCTACTTGTTGCACATAGTCAGATTTCCTTATGTTTTTATCCTACTTATTTTGATACTTAGGAAGTAAGTGTAATGGCTAGCATTTCGGAACAAGAAATCGGGAAGCCAAATTCAAATTCTGTTTATATGTAGCATTGAATTTACGGTCACATTGAGCAATTTCATCTGTAAAATGATGGCAACTAAAATTTGTAAAGACTTACATACCAAAAAGGAAAGCTCATCAGAATAATTACCATGAAAATATTTATAGTAATGTCACAGGGAAAATACATGACAGCAGTAGTAAAGTGACTGAAGCCAAGCTGCCAGGTCAGGATCAATAAAATTGCAAATTCTTTGGATTTTATCAAGAATCTCTAAGTACATAGCAGAAGCATCAGGCCAGATGTAGAAGTAATATTCAATGCAAGCACAAATGGTCGACTTACAATGTTATAAAACTGAATTTACGGTTAAATCTGTTTATGAATTCTGAGGCTTTTTTATGTAAATATATGTGATGATGAGGAGACAAAGTGGAAAACTTTTTGTCAAAGACGCATTTTGACACCGGAGAAAATGATAATGAAAGAAAGACATAAAACATTGTGAGGGGAAAAATGACTGAGAAGCAAGAAGCATTCCACAAGTGAGTAGTATAAGAAAAGAAACTGTTAACATAGAAGTTATGGTTACATCTAACCATTTCAAGTGTAAAATGTTGAGACCTAGCTGCCAATCTAGTACTGCACTTAAATTTGTAAAGTCGAGGTACCATAGAGGAAATCTCATCAAAAAATTACCATAAAAATGGTACAAGGAAGCTATGTCCTGGCAATGAGAAATTCACTGAAGATGCCAGGTCAGGATCAATAACATTGCAAATTCTTCTCTGGATTTTATCAAGAATCTCTAAATACATAGCAAAAGCCCCAGACCAGATATGATAACAATAGTCAATGCATGGGCAAATGGTAGACTTATAAAGGTGCAAGATTCTGGTAAGAAAAATTGTTTAGCAAGAGACAGTGAACAAACCTTCCTAGCAGTAGACCTAGCAATTGATTCAATATAATCTTTCCACTTCATGTCAGCAATGAGCATTACCCTAAGAAGGTGCAAGGTCACTCTCCTAGAGGTTAGCATCAGCCATGTTGATGGAAGGCAAAAAAAGTTTCTCTAAGACAATTAACTGTTGCCATGCTAATTTTTTAGAATTCCCCCTGCCACTGCATTTTTTTTTTTTTTTTTCAGGGTGCAAAAACATGAACACCTACTGTTTTAAAATCATTATAATTTTCTTTGTATTGTGTGTATAGATTTTATTTTTTGTATACTAATAAAAGAATGAATGAGTAATATTTTGATGTAATGCATTACATTTTGTATGTATCATTTGACATTGAAAACAAAAAAATTAAAACACAAAATAAAAAAACAAATTCATTAAAAAATACAAATAATTCAATGTACTTTAACTTTTATTACTCCCTGTGGAGATCTGGAGGTGCAATAAGAAGCAAAATTGCTAAGAAGGCTTTCATTTTGTCAAAAAAGTGATGTGTTTCCTTGTGTTTACATATGAGAAGACACTAGTTGGATTTTTCTTTCACCTGACTCATATTTATGTCTCATTGATGAATAAAGTTATTATTTTGTTGTTTATAAATAGACAAAATAATTCACCTTCAGAAAGGCTATCAGGTATATTGATGGTCACCAGTAGCTTCTATAAAATTAGTCAGGCATGGATGATAGTAGCAGCTAGTGGGCATCATCGCTTTCCTCCATGTCACTAGCATGGTTATCATCTCCAAACACTTCACCGTCAATATCGCCTTCAAAATCATCAGAGTTCTAATCAAAGAAAAATTCCTGAATAAAAGCTTTATTAGATGCAGCCATTTTTGTTTACAAAAAAAAAATGCGAAAAAATTGATATGGGTTTAATCGGTGTTACACCTCATGTAGAGTCTAGAAGAATTCAAAATGGTGTCGGAAAACAGAAGTTTAACCTTGTTCCAAAGCAGTAGTAGGCGATTTCCAGCTTAAAATACCGGAAATAACAGTTGACAATTGTTTATTTATAGCAACCATCTCAAGGCGACAGAATGTGTCTAGAGTAACAAAGGGAGAGAATTCTACAGTGACAATTTTTGCCTGTAGTGTGGTAAAAGTTAAGAGAACAGTTTCATTTTACACAATAGAAAAGGATAAGTTTTAAGAAATTGTGAAAGGCAAATTTAATTACAGGAAATTAACAATTTCCTTTCTGCCCAATTGTCTATTGGGTTCAAGAATTCAGCTGACCCAACGAATGTGCAACTGCTGTCAGCTTGGATGTGCAGTTGGTGCAATAGATAATTGTTAATCAGAGAGCAGAGTTCCAACTCTTGTCCGGTTCATAATATTCACTTAGGCACAAATACCCTTGAGAAAGTTATGAATCTACATCTTCTTTCCCCTAGCTATGGGTTAATTAGCAAAACTTATATCACTAAAACATTATTATCTCCAAAAATAAAACTGCATACAAAATATTTACATTTCAGCATTAAATAACCCATAGAGGTGTTGATATGCCTCTAAAGAAAAACAACCAACCAATGTGTGGCTGGAGAAAGAAATCCTCGATACCCTTTTTATTTTCATTATTTGGATTGTTATCCTCATCTTCATTGACATATTCACAATGTTTTAGCCTTCAGTTGATGAAGACATTGGTTAGATCCAGTGATTTTAGACAGGTACATCGTTCTGCTACATTTTAAAAAAACTACAGCCTTTCTTTAACCACTTTTTAAGCAGCCTGTTGATACCTTTGAAAGCATACATACTTTCCTTCACCCACATTGTTAAGCAGGCTACTACTACATTTGAATACATACATACATGTATATTTACTTCCTCTCAGACTCTCACATAAACATCAGAACTTTTATGTCATGTGATGGGTGGCATGTGAAAAATTTCAGCATAAATTTATATTAGGTTCTTTTAAAAATAAAATTTAAGAAAATAAGATGTTTTTTAGCAACGCTAGTAGTTACTACCATGTGGGCTAACTGGTCATCCAGCTGCCAAACAACAGACATTATTCTGTGAAAAGCTTTTAAAGTCAACCCCTCAGTGAGAAAAGTCAATATGGCTCGGGGGTACACCCGACTTTCACAGGTGAATGTGATCGCCCAGTGCTATTTATAATTAGGCTGGGAATCTGATCCACTAAATAAATAATGAAGGACTTCTGATTAGAGATGGTTTGGGAAAAATCTGGTCTTTTCTAGAAGACCCTACATGATTCTAGAAGCCTCTTGGGCCGGAACCAAAAGTGTTCCACCACACAAAAGGTGAAATATAAAAGGAAGAGTTGGGTATGAATTGGGGGACGAATTTGTATAAATGGATGGCAGAACAGGGCATGAGAAGGATAGTGAAAAAAAATGTTAGTAAGAGCTACAAAGTATAGAAAATTGGGGTACGCTATGATTGCTCCCATCCTAGTGGAGACATAGCACATAAAAGATGATGATGATGTGATACTCGTTTTATAATACCTGCTTATGGATATGAACTGTCACCTTTTTGCTTTCTTTTTTTATATACCTATACTATTTTGTAACACAGTATCTGATATCTTTTATTAAATAACTGTCATATAGGACATAATGGAATTGTCTATTTATGGAAATAAGTGAAGGAAGAGGAGAGTTAGTATTAGGTCCAATGCTAAGTGTACCTTCGTGTAGTAAACCTTCTATTTCATTACTTACCTATGAGTTTGTCTTCCTTATTTAGTTCCTTCTGTTTTCTCAAAAATATGTGATCCGATAGATAGATAGATAGATAGATGAGAATAGGAGAGGTAGATAAAAACAGACTAGGAGAGAGAGAGATAGATACATAGATAAATAAGAACAGACTAGGAGAGAGAGAGAGAGATAAATAAGAACAGACTAGGAGAGAGAGAGATAGATAAATAAGAACAGACTAAGAGAGAGATAGATAAATAAGAACAGACTAGGGGGGAGAGAGAGAGATATAGATAAATAAGAACAGACTAGGGGGGAGAGAGAGAGATAAGAACAGACTAGGAGAGAGAGAGATAAGAACAGACTAGGAGAGAGAGAGATAAGAACAGACTAGGGGAGAGAGAGATAAGAACAGACTAGGGGAGAGAGAGATAAGAACAGACTAGGGGAGAGAGAGATAAATAAGAACAGACTAGGGGAGAGAGAGAGAGAGATAAATAAGAACAGACTAGGGGAGAGAGAGAGAGAGATAAATAAATAAGAGACTAGAAGAGAGAGAGATAAATAAGAACAGACTAGGAGAGAGATATATATATAAAGAGATAGAAAAAAAAATAAGATAGATCAATCAAAACAGATTGTAATAATGTCATATAGGACATAAATGAATGGAATCATCCATTTATGTAAATAAGTGGCGTTGAGGAGAGTTAGCATTGCTAAGTGCTAAGTGTAGTTTGCATATAATAAACCTTTTATTTCATTATTTACCTACGAGTTTGTCTTCCTTATTTATTACCCTCTGTTATCTTGAAAACACAAAATGCAAACAATAGATAAGAATAAACTAAGAACAAACAAAGATACAACAGATAGATATTAAAAGACTTAGATAAGAACAGTCTATAATAGTCTCATATAGGACATAAATGAATGGAATTGTTCGTTTATGTAAATAAGTGGAGTTCAGGAGAGTTAGCATTATGTCTTTTTGAACTCTCTGCATTTGAGCAGAGAGAACTCAGACAAGGCTTTGTCAAAGGACACTCTTGTCTGGGGAAGGTAGGTACACTTGACCCCATTATTATGAGGTCTACGGAGAATTTTTGCCCAAGCTTATGTGCTTGGAAAAAAAAAATGCGTAAAACCAGTCTTGTACCACATCCTTCTCTGTGAGGAGCTCGAGTAAATACTAAGTTAGCATTTGGTCCATTGCTAAGTGTACCTTCATGTAGTAAAACTTTCTATTTCATTACTTACCTACAAGTTTGTCTTCCTTATTTATTTCTCACTGTTATCTCAAAAACACGAGTTATAACAATATCAAAAAAAAAATGTCAGGATTTTTAAAAAAATTTTTTCCAGGAATACGGCACTGACGGTGATCCTGATTCGTGCTGGTTTGGGACTTGATCCAGAGGCACTGAAAAAGCTGTCCTTTGCGGTTGTGCGTTTGGCTTTTTCCCCTTGCCTCACAGAGACAGTTGTAGCTGCTATCGTTTCTCATTTCTTACTCGGACTCCCATGGATTTGGGGATTCATGCTTGGGTAGGTATATATATGTTCTTTTTACAGAAAAAGGAAGCATGTATTTATGTACTCTACAGTTCCAAAGTTTGAAGCCACCCCCAAAATTAGCACTGGATGAACTTGGCAGAAGAGTGGGGGAAAAAAAAAAAAAAAATGAAAAAAGCTCTTAGAGTGATTGAAAAAAAAAAAGAATGGAATCAATTATCAAACTAATACTTTGAGAAACTTTTACAACAAATACCAAAAATGTGTGCTGCAGTAATGAAGGCTAAAGGAGGATATGTTGACAAGAGCAAGATTTAATCATAAAATGCTTTGTTTCTTTTTATCATAATTAAATTTCAAATAAAAAAAAAAATCATGTCTCACTTTTTTTTTTTAACCATGTATAATAATTTTCTCTTATTTAAAGTAAAAAAAAACAACTACTTTTGGGGACAATTTAAAATATGACCAGGGGTAACCTCAATCTTTTGAACTGTAGTGTATGTGCATATATAAGAGTTAACATCGAGTGATGATAGTCTGTTTCATGCTCGCATGTAATCTTCAGGCCTGAAGATTTATATATGTTGGTCAGTGGTGCATTATGGATAGCAAGGTTTTATTGTATTATCCTAGTATAAATGGCCTCCTACACAGACCTGAAGCCTGCTCATGAAATCGATTGTGGCCACTGAACCCAAATATAAACACACCAATCAAAGACTCTCTGGCTGCTAGACGTGAACCGTGCAGAGTAATTGGACAGTCATACACAGTTGTTGTCTTGTCTGGTGTGCCTGGCAAACCAAATATGAGTATACATGTCTTTGTTAGCAGTCTGCCTCACACTCTCTGAAGTGAAGTTGTTTTTTGACAGCGATCACCTACTGTATGTGATGCACATTTTCAGAAACATGGGGTAATGGATTTAACTTTTCTTTTTTTTTTTTTTTTTTTGAACATTTTTGTGGTCGTGTATATTCATTTATTTTTGACTGACTGTTTAACTGCCTGATGAATATTCATGAATTTAAAAGCCTTGATAAACCAATGACATCCTTGCTCTTGTATATAAACATGTGCAACAAAATAAATCCTACAGTATTTACATTAGTCGGACTATTGTCCTCATCTTTGTCGCCATATTTGTCACAACGTTTCGGCCGTTGTATGCTCCGGCCTTCTTCAGGTGGTTGGAATTTCAAACTGAACCCTTTATTTCAATCACTGGGGTAGACTGTTCTAGTTCCATGTGCCATGTTTGATGGATGTCAGTTATCAGTTATCTCCTGCTAATTTTCCTCTGAAAGTTCTCCACTGCCTTAACCAGGTATTGAACTCACCTTCTTTGGGTCTGTCACTGGATCTAACTAACGCCTTTATCCACTGTGCCATGTGGTTAAGGAGAGTGGAGAAATTTCAGAGGGAAAATTAGCAGGAGATAACTGACATCCATCAAACACATATTGCAAAATGGAATGTTAGAACAGTTTTACCCCAGTGATTGAAATAAAGGTTCAGTTAGAAATTCCAACCACCTGAAGAAGTCTGGAGCGCATAATGGTCAAAACGCTTGTGACAAATATGGCGACAAAGATGAGGACAATAGTCCAAATAATGTAAATACTGTACATAATACCTCACCTCAGAAATATTGACAGACTCAAAATAAATCCTACATTTGCCTTGATAAAGTCCCTCAGAGGACGAAACGTGTCGGCTAAAAATAGTTTTTTCTCTTGTCTTATTCATTTTGTTTCTTTACAGATACACTCTATCTGAAAATAATTTACACACACACACACACACACATGTATATTTTGTAATAACTTTAAACTTGATGCTCAGTTAAATTTAAAATTTGACATTCGGAATTTCTAATTTTAATGTGAAATTAAAACTTAATTAGTTATATTGATTCCTAATTTAATCTGATCTTAATTTTAATGCATTAATAGATTGTATTTAGGTTATATAGTCACATTATTTTAAATTACCATATACTTGTCTTCTGATTGGTCATCATAGGGTACGTAATACTTTCCCCTACTGAGGGGGTTTGGTTGATTTTGAACTCTTAAAACTCTTTATTTTGCAATCAATATCACTTGACAAGACAACAAGTGATGAAACAAAATGGCTATTTTGTAGTGATGTTATAACATTCATATGTTATAATTTTTGAATATATATATATATATATATATATATATAGGCAGCATATCTTTGTTCAAGCATGTTTGGTTGAATGATCTTGACATATTATTTTCTCATCCCTTTTATTTTCCCAAGCTTGGGTGAAATTAAAAGTACTTGGGAAAATAAAAGCAATGAGAAAAACTATGATGCCTTTCTTAATGAGTTTAATATCAACACTAAGAAATTGATCCGAGAATTTGAGAGGATTAATATAGACATAATATGCCTAGATTACTCAACCAAATACATACATATATATATATATATATATATATATATATATATATAGGCAGCCAGCATATCTTCATTCAAGCATATTTGACTGTATAATCTAGACATGCCTATTTATTTTTATTTTAATCCTTTCAAATTCAGAAATTGTTTCATGAATTCGAAATGATTAAAATAAAAATAGACATAATATGCCTAGATTATTCAACCAATTGTAAATTTAATTGGGCTTTTTCAGAGACAGTAAATAATTTAGTGTATCAACTCATGACAAGTACTGTCTCATCTCATCCTTCCCTTTTATCATCTCAAACTTCCTTAATGCAATTCCCTAAATCTTATTTTCTCACTCTAACCAAAAAGGCAGAAACTTCTATATTATAAAGTGCCAATTTATAGAATCTTTGAGCTTGAAATCCACAGCCAAGCACTGAGGGCTCCCCACTCCCCAAATGGAATCAATGACTATGTATCCATGACCAAAAGTGAGTTCTTCATCTGTGGTCTGATCTGGATAGGGATGAACTCCACCAGGTCTACTTTTCACCCCAAAAACAAGCTACACAATGGGGATCCTGTGACCAAGCCCTGTCATGATGATGATGATAATTGAACTTTTCAAAATCAATATTTCAACAACCGTACATAAGAAATTTTGTGTGAAAGTTAAAGAAACATCAGAAACAATGTGCTGGACTGCAGAGTGGACATGTGGAGTAGTGGGTATGTTTCATGGCTCTACATCAGGTGAAGATGGTCATTCCAAAATGGTGCGGCAGAAGAGGATAGCAGGTGATGTGGAATGATTGAAAGACAATCAAAAATTTAAAAATATTCATATATCAAAAATAAATATGATTTCAAAATTTAAAATATTATTATGGATTACTTGTAATTTCATGCATGAGTCCCAGTATAAGTAGTTCTAAATAATTATTGACCAATTTTATCATTGTGATATTTTTGCATTATATCAAGTATTAAGAATATATAACTAGGGTCTGCAAATTGGAGGAAAGAGTTATCAATGATAATGTTCTGACTTCAAATCCGTTATCTCCCTTTAAACCTCACTCTTTTTTATTTTATTTTTAAATGTATTTTCTATCATATAAAATTTGGTGAGGCATGAGCAAATTTTAATTCTGAAAATGCAGCCCAGAGGAAAAAAGTTTGAGAACCGCTGGGTGGAGAACTTTTCAGTGCCTCTCATAAATAAAAAATATTTTATCTTTCTTAACCAATAAGCCTTCATTAATCTTGCCACTTATTGTATTGCAATTGCCTTCTTGTAGGTTTGTGATTGCTGCTGTGTCTCCAGCTGTAGTTGTACCATGTCTTTTGCATTTACAAGATTGGGGTTACGGCATCGATAAAGGCATCCCTACTTTGGTCATTGCCGCAGCTAGTATTGATGATGTTCTTGCTATCACAGGATTTGGAGTTGTATTGGGAATAGCATTTGCAGAAGGTACGCACATTGTTGTCTCTTTGTGTTTCTTTCAAGAGTCATTTTTGATTTTAGTGTGGCCAGAAACAGCTTCTGACCATTTGTCTTGAATATGTAATTATTTAGATTTTTTGTAACTTTTTACAATATTTGCAGGAAATATTGTTTGGTCCATCTTTAAGGGACCTCTGGAAGCTTTGCTGGGTATTGTGCTTGGAGCTATCTTTGGGGTCTTTCTATGGTATATTCCTGCAGTAAAACAAGTAAGTAATATTTTCTTTTTGAATTTTTTTAACAAATTCTCTTTAAAAAAGATGAATTCACAATTTTACCTAGGTAAAACTTGATGCTCAGAGAAATTATCTTTCAAGATGTGAAAATGTTTAAATAAAATTTAGAATTATTTAAATCACATTCTTATCTGGATCAGTCTATGAGAGATCTTTCCTTTTGTTGGAGGAATTGACCATTCAGTATATGTCTATATTTCTGAGATGAGGTATTATGTACACTATTTACATTATTCAGACTATTGTCCTCATCTTTGTCACCATATTTATTAAAATGAGGCATTGCTATTGTATGCTCTGGCCTCTTCATCAGGTGGTTTTTATTTGAAAAACTGAACCCTTTTTATTTCACTCACTGGGGTAAACTGTTTCTAGTTCCACGTCAAGGACACATGGCACAGTGGATAAAAACATGATTTTCATAGATCCAATTTGACAGGACCCTAAAGAGTGTGAGTTCAATACCCAGTTAAGGCAGTGAAGAACTTGGAGAAGGGAATTAACAGGAGATAACTGATAACTGACATCCATTAGACATTTTAGAACAGTTAAAAACAAAAGAACAAAAACCAACATTAATTTAAATAAAGGAACTCAAATCCCAAAGTTCAAATCCATTCCATGGCCTTATTTTTGAAAACAGGGAAATTTTAAAAGAACAATCTGCTGCTTTGGAAAATGTCCAAACTTATTTGTCTTTTATGGATCATAAAGTTTAGTCAAATTACATGCAGTTGGATAAACAAAAATAATATGTCTACAGCCCTGATTTACTTACACTATTTCATTTTCATGTTAATTTTCCATCAGGTTCTTGAAAAAGTTCATAAAATTTAGATCTGAAACTGATTTATTAAATTTGATTTTCTAATCCTCTGATACATTGAATATAGTTTGTTTGTATTATGGAGTCATCTTAATCAACATTTACCTAAAGAAAGTGCAACAGTGCTTATAAACAAAAATTAAATATCAAATATATCATAAAATACTTACACTATTTAATTTGATTAATGTAAAACTATCATTTTTTCTTTCACAACATTCTTGTGTTATTTTGATGTAAATTGATAATTCATCCCAGAAAAAAACTGAAGGCAATAAGGTGATAATACAAAATTTGAATTAATTTAATAAAATCTGTATTCAGACTGAAGTAGAATGAAAAAATTTGTTGAATAAATTTAATATCTCACTGTCCAAGAACAATCAGGTGATAATCCTTGTAAATAATTGAAAATTCAGACAAGTTTGAAATTCCCTGAAGGTTATCTGAATGATCTATCCAGACTGAACCTGATGAACAAAAGATAAGGACAACTGAATGTAAATAATGATAACTCCTCAATAATTGGCAAAGGTGATAAGAAAAAAAATGAGGATATTAGTCTGAATGTAAATAATGATAACTCCTCATCCAGAAATTCTGACTGAAGGCAATCAGGTGATAAGAACAACAAAGATGAGGATATTAGTCTGAATGTAAATAATGATAACTCCTCATCCCAGAAATCCAGACTGAAGGCAATCAGGTGATAAGAACAACAAAGATGAGGATATTAGTTTGAATGTAAATAATGATAACTTTTCCTCATCCCAGAAATTCAGACTGAAGGCAATCAGGTGATAAGAACAACAAAGATGAGGATATTAGTTTGAATGTAAATAATGATAACTCCTTATCCCGGAAATTCAGACTGAAGGCAATCAGGTGATAAGAACAACAAAGATGAGGATATTAGTCTGAATAAAATAATGATAACTCCTCATCCCAGAAATTCAGACTGAAGGCAATCAGGTGATAAAATCAACAAAGATGAGGATATTAGTCTGAATGTAAATAATGAACTCCTCATCCCAGAAATTCAGACTGAAGGCAATCAGGTGATAACCACAAAGATCTGGATAATTAGTCTCATCCCAAAAAATAATGATAACTCCTTATCCGGAAATTCAGAATGTAAATAAGGCAATCCAGGTGATAAGAATAACAAAGATGAGGATATTCGTCTGAATGTAAATAATGATAACTCCTCATCCCAGAAATTCAGACAGAAATTATGACTAATTTTATTTTTTGTTTCTTTCAGAAAAACAGATTATTTCAAAGAGGTTTCATCTTATTTGCTGTTGGATTAGTGGGAGTTCTTGGTTGTCCACGTTTGGAAATTCCTGGCACTGGTCCACTTCTCTGTCTGACTGTAGCATTTGTAGCTGCTGTTGGTTGGCGAAGACAGAATGATGTTGAAAGCCTTGTAAGTTTTTTAATTCTCAAATTCTTCAAATGATATTCCAGTGTTATCCAGGTGAACTTTATTTTTCTTTTGCAACTATTAAGGAGGATCTGAGGTTTTGTCAATCTACTGTCCTGTTCCACCTGTTTGATGAAAATGATGGGGTAATATGGCTTAATGCCAATACTTTCTTCATGGATAGGCCACAGTGTAGGCACAGATGGCAGTGGAATGGGACCCCTTATGAGAGAGAGAGAGAGTAACCAAAAAAAAGAAGTGAACATGAGATTGAAGACAGAGACTGTTGATTCCAATCTTCTGGAGAAGATGACAGCAAAACACTTTCCCCTCCCCCATTTATAGGCAGAAAAACACAAATGCATGCTGAGATTTCTTCCTAGCCAATAAAATAGGCCAGTTCTCAGTTTCATCTGACTCGTTCCCAGTCTGTCTTGTCTTGAAATCATAACACTATGTTTGCTTGTCCAATCTTGCTTTAGTGTGTCAACTGTAATTCTCAGTTTGTGAACTTTTTGCCATATTATTGTTAATTTGCCTTGCATATATTGTTTGCTTGCTTTATATTATTTTTTGCCCTGTTCTTTTCTTTTTCTTGTTATTGCTTATTACAAACTTTGTCAATTCTGTTTGTTGGACAGTTCTCTCTCTTATTTTACATTTTACTATGGCTACTCACTCCACAGAGACAGAGAAAAAAAAAAAGAATGATCTGGAAAAAAAAAAGGCATAAAGTCAATTTAGATGATTGATTTCCTCTGGAAATTTGAAACTTTCTTGGAATATTTCATCATTTCCATAGACTTCTTTAAAAACTACACATTCTACTTTAGTCAAACCTACTTGCATAGAGGTCTTCATTTTAGTTTTCCTTCTTTATTGAAGCTTTTGCTTCCCAGACTATATTGACAAAAAGATTTATTCATAATTAGGAATAGTTTTTAAATTTCTTAGATAAAGCATTGTCAATTATTATTCATTTTTCACTAGTATTTCTTTCATCTTCATTTCTCTTGCTTTTTATTGCAACTACCATCCATAAGAAGTAGAAGTAGAGAATATAGCTATATGGCTAAATTTGAATGACTCCTGCTGGTTAGCCTTCTTAGATGAAGCATTGGCAATTATTATTCATTTTTCACTAGTATTTCTTTCATGTTCATTTCTCTTGCTTTTTATTGCAACTGCCATCCATAAGAAGTAGAGAATATAGCTATATGGCTAAATTTGAATGACTCCTACTGGTTAACCTTCTTAGATGAAGCATTGGCAATTATTATTCATTTTTCACTAGTATTTCTTTCATTTTTTTTTTCTTGCACAAAATAATTATCAACTCTTTCAGTTGATCTTAAATTCCCACAAGTTATGACAGATGGTTACACTCTTAATTAGGCTCCTTGCTTTGAGTGTCTTTTGGGACACCAGACCTCACGTGGAACTCGTATATACAATCTGTGGCTAAAGATACTAGAAAAATGGTTGGATCCTTGCTTCACTCCAGAATTTAACCGACTCCTGCTATGCTCTATCTTTGCAAGAGCCAAATCAGACCAAAAAATGGAGTATTCTTGGGTCGGAGATGCCCAGTCCTCCCTTTCCAGTCTTGAAAGAGTTTGAAACCATTTATGTGATCTTGTGGGTGTTAAACTGTTTTCTACCCAACAACTCCTTTCCCACACTGCAAGTCTATTGCTATTTCTATATAAAATATTCTGATGAGCTCTAACGTCACCCTGCCATATGCACAGGGGGTGAGGTGTCGTCATTCCCTTCATATGCATTTGGTCAGCAGGAGCTTCTGTTTGGACAACTTCTTCCCAAAAACTACTACTTTGTGAAACAGACACCAAAGAGGATGCTTCCTCGGACATTACAATTTTAGTCTCTTCAAGTCTAGGACCAACTGTTGTATATCCTACATATCATCATAAATTGGCACTTTCCTGTTCTATATCCATATAACAGGCTCATTCAGTAAACCCCTATCTTGACGGACTCTTGAGCCTTGTATTGGGTGAACATTTCTTCCCTGCTGTCCTCTCTCAGCAACTTGTTGATTTATTTGTTCCTAACATATTTTTGGTGGCAACAGTGGAGTAATGGATTACATCTGGGATTGAGGAATCGGAGAGTTGGTTTTTGAATTCTAATCAAGTTCAATGCATTCACTTATATGCTAATACTCTTGGAAAAGGTATGAATCCATCTCTTCTGCCCCCACCCCTTGCTATGAGTAAATAGTAGGACAGACTGGGTTCTATAGCCTTGGGTGGCGACTGGTCTAGGAGAAGGAGAAGTCTGAATTCAAACCAGCCTGGAAAGGGTTGAGCTCTGTCAGACGGTCTTGCCCATGACACACCACTTCTACGGCTCGAATGAGTCACGGGAGTTGTGATGGAATGTATTTTTATGCCTCACCACTCCTTTTAAAGTTTTTACCGCTCAGTAAAATGCATTACATTACGACTGCTTCCCATATAGGAAGTTGAAGACTGATTAGAGAAATTAGAACAAAGTATCTTACAGTTGTAAAAAGTTGATAAAGCCTCAAAAAAAAAAAAAAGTTATGAAAATTTAAAGTAAGAATTTCTTTGACAATGGTGACCCTTTTTAAACAAAATTCATTCCAAGCTTAGATATCTGCAATATATTTACTTGTAAATAAAAACTACAAATAAACAATAAATAATGCTGTAGCATGTTGGCAAGATAATAACTGACTCATGTTTATAGAGTAACACTGAGCGGCTTCAGGAATGTTATCTATTGTACCGAAGTTGCACCTACAAACTGGTGTCATGTTCAGAATTCAAATTTATTGAAAAGTTTGTTTATAGATCTCTTTGAGGCATCAATTACATAAAGTAGCGGTTCTTGGGAAAAGCTGTTTGAATGAAACTTTCTTCTAGCTCAGTGGTTTGCAACCTTTTTTTTTTTTTTTTTTTTAACACATGAATCACTTTTACTCTTCATTTTTTTTTTTGCTGCACCTCCAAAACCATTCAATGAAAAAAAAGCTTATTTTATTTTTTAACTAATAGTTAAGTTTAGGAATTGTATTATAGAAATAGTAAATGTATATGCTTTATTTTGAAGTAAAACTAATTTAATGAAAAATAGACTTGTATTTAATGACTAAATTCTATAGAACATTTGTGTACACTAGTAAAATAACCCCATAATAAACCTTTTTAAAATATGTGAGTAATTAATAAATTTAAAAAAAAGTGCAGATTTATTCAATGAGATCCTTGTGGTTGATGATGCTCTGCAAGTTTTTACATTCGGCTCCATCAATGTCAATGATAGTCAAAGCTCAATTATAATCTTTATATAACTTTGCTTTATATATATATATATATATATATATATATATATATATATATATATATATATATATATATATATATATATAATAATTCTCTCCAGTCAGTTTTGACATATGAGGGTCTGACAGCTTAATTGATTCAGTTATGAAATTTTGTGTGATAATCTTAAGTGGCACTTATGACCCGCTAGTGATTTACAAAGGAGGCCACATATGGAGCAAGAGTGAAGATTGTGGGAGGAGATCACTGTTAGATTGACTGTCCTTTTAGATCTTACTCTCACTTCTTGAAGATGATTCAGACAAGCAGACTGAAAACTGCTGAGTCCACTAAGACACGTTGATCTCCATTCTACCCGCTCTAAGGCTAAGCACTCAAGGGTGTTATGTGGTATATTGACTGCTGACAAGTTGCTTTTCAGTTTGTATCTTAGCCATGTGCGTCCTACATTCCTGTAGCCCTGATCTAACTGGCTGTACATTAGGATCTTGGGTATCCTGTCATCAGACATTCTCAAGACATGACCAGTAACTGAGACTGTATGATAATTATATATATAATAATTCTTTCTTTATATATCCTTCTCATTTTTTATTCAACTTTTACTATCTAAACATCTGTTAGAGTAAAAAGGATGCTAACTTACATTGTTTGATCTTGTTTTCTGCTAGTTTTAGAGTTGTTTTTCTATTTTTAGTATTTTAATATGGTGTAGATTACTGCAGAAATTCCAATTCTCAGTTGTAGCAACTGTTACGATGGGAAATTGCTCTGTGGACCACTAAAATATTACCGTGGACTCTCAACTAGCTATTTTTTTTTTTTTTTTGTGTGTGTGTGCACTCATGGTAATGTTAAGTGGAGCCCAGGGTTCAGAACCACTGATCTAAATGGTTATAGAAATGGTTCAGGAAAATGATGGCATAGTAATTTTGAGTTTTATCCCTGGGCTGGGTAGTAGAGACTTGGACTAGAAACATGACTAAGATAATAAGAGAGCAGTACTAAAAACAAATCAAGATATCCTGATACACAGACAGTAGGGCAGGTCGATCTTGGAAGTGTGCACTCAATTTGACAGTTGGGCTTTGACATGATTAATAAGGACACACAATATTTTTTTTTATTATTTTTCTATTTTTTAGTATTTTAATATGGCATAGATTACTGTAAAAATTCCAATTTTCATTTGTAACAACTGTTCCGAAGTGAAATTGCTCTATGTGCTCTATGGACCACTAAAATATTACTGTGGACCTCCAATTTGCTATTTCTTTGTGTGGACCCCCAGTAATATTATATGGGCCCACAGTTTCATATGGATCCCCAGTTGAGAACTAATTAATTATGAAGGGAATGAGGATGGTTCACCAATGTGTAGATGGCATGGTAGGTCTTCACTGTAAATGGAGTTAAAACAAGTTTCAGCTCTATTGCTTAACTGATGGCAATCTGATCAAATTTCAATCTTCCTTCTAACCAATGAAATACAAAATAAATGTGGATGGATCAGTCCTGTGTAGATTACAAAGTTAATTTTACCTGCCATTCAAGGAGTAAAACACATGTTTAATGGATATATTACTTACCTGTCAAGAATCTTTGGTCAGAAAGCATAACAGACAAGAAATATTGTTTCTGCCTAAATTTGGGGGATGAGAGGTTAGTATTTATATGTCAGATATTGTTCTCTTTGTTGTTGTTATCACGTTTCGACCATCTTGTCCAAAGATTGTCAGCAAATTCACAAACCAAGACATGAGTCTACTGTTCCATGATGACTAATATATTTTGCAGAAATCATGACATTTTAACATAGACAAGAACAGGATAATATTTGAGATGCATGATGATAGAATCTGAAAAAATAGCTGAAATGTTTGTCTTTTCTTTCTTTGTAGAATACCATAATGAATGCCACGGCCATTTTATGGCTCATCTTTGAACCTCTTCTATTTGGCTTAATTGGTACAGAAGTCGACGTCAGTAAACTTAACGGAGAAACAATTGGTCAGTTTGCAATTTCAGCTTTTTTTCTTGTTCAGTTATTAATAATTTAATTATGAATTTCACTTAAGCTTAAAAGACTACACTTAATTCAGAAACATTTTCAAAGGAAAGGCAATTTAATCTTTGTTTTATATTTCTTTCATTTTTATAGGCTATGGAATTGCAACGCTGGTTGTTGGTCTATCTTTTAGAACCATAGTGGCGTTTTTTGCAGTTTTTAGAACAAACTTGAATCTGAAAGAGAAATTTTTTGTTGGTCTTGCCTGGTTACCAAAAGCAACAGTTCAGGTTAGTAACCTACCTATCATAATTTTTTTTTTTTTTTTTTCATTTTACAGTAAGTTTCACCTTGTACAAGGCACAGTAGCTACTTAAATTGGGAGTTACGTTAAGGAGTAGTTTATACAGATAGGAGGGGAAGATAATGGTTAACTCTAGACTTGAACAGGTTAAGATTGTAGCTCTCAGAGGAAACATTCCATTGGGAATCAATTCCAGATGGCAGTGGTTCATGGGTTGAAGCCATTCAAGTGAAAACTTCTCACTGATGGAATACAGAGGGAATGTGGGTGGTTTGCTACAAGGTAAATGGCATGACAGGTCCTACATGTGAAGGTTAGAATGAGGCAGAACCAAGGAATGGTGTCCTGGGTATGACTATAAACTATGTCCAACAGCAAGGCCTCTGATAATACGTTTTTGAGAAAATAATGTTGTGAGCTGTACGTTTTTGAGGAAATATTCTTGCCATCTGTACATTTTTGAGGAAATATTCTTGCCAGCCGTACACATTTGAGGAAATATTCTTGCCAGCCGTACGCATTTGAGGAAATATTCTTGCCAGCCGTACGCTTTTGAGGAAATATTCTTGCCAGCCGTACGCTTTTGAGGAAATATTCTTGCCAGCCGTACGCTTTTGAGGAAATATTCTTGCCAGCCGTACGCTTTTGAGGAAATATTCTTGCCAGCCGTACGCTTTTGAGGAAATATTCTTGCCAGCCGTACGTATTTGAGGAAATATTCTTGCCAGCCGTACGCATTTGAGGAAATATTCTGCCAGCCAGACTAATTTGAGGAAATAGTTGCCAGACGCTTTTTGAGGAAATATTCTTGCCAGCCGCATTTGAGGGAAACATCTTGCCAGCTGACGTGCATTTGAGGAAATATTCTTGCCAGCCGACGCATTTGAGGAAATATTTTGCCAGCCAAACGCTTTTGAGGAAATATTCTTTATTCCTGCTACGATATTTGAGGAAATATTCTTGCCAGCCGTACGTATTTGAGGAAATATTCTTGCCAGCCGTCCGCATTTGAGGAAATATTCTTGCCAGCCAGACGCAAATTTGAGGAAATATTTTGCCAGCCGACGATTTGAGGAAATATTCTTGCCAAAAATAGTGACGCATTTGAGGAAATATTTTTTATCAAGATGATTTGAGGAAATATTCTTCATAATATTTGAGGAAATATTCTTGCCAGCCGTACGTATTTGAGGAAATATTACCAGCTGTATATTTTTGAGGAAAAAATATGTTAACAGAAATAGATTTTTGACAAAACAAAAACATTACCAGAAAAAAAAAGTTGTCGGCATTAAATGACCCATTGAGGTTGATATGCCACAAAACAAACCAAACCAAGAAATGTAGTTTGTCTAAACGCTTTCCATGGAAATAGCAATAGATCAGTGAGAGACTCACCACATTACGACCGTTAGAAGTTGGAGGACGGAAAATGATTCATCACTGACAAGGACTTGGAGATGCTTTTTAACTCTATGAAAACTGGAATGTGAGGATTGTGCAGCTCCAGCCCAAATATAACAACACCACTCCATTTTCAGCCTGCTCTAACCTCTTCTAAAGGTAAAGGATAGCATGAGGAGTCAGGTACTTACTAGAACAGTACAGGGAGCCAACCAATTTATGATGTACGGGTTCCACTTAAGGTCAGGTGGGAGTTTGAGGCCCAATATAATATTCTCTTAAGGCATGGTGCCTCCTCGCGGGCTGTACATCATGAGTGGAGCAGCCCTCATCAATAAAAAAAAAAATGGCTGTTATAAAGAACTGAAAAAAATTAAATTAATCTCTTCTTTGAAAACAATTTCCTTCAAAAGACAAATTAACATGCATCAATAATCCTTTCCCAAAATGATAATGTTGACAAACAATTTTATTTCAAGAAGATGAATAATGCTTTAGGAATAGCAATAACATCAATTTATTTGATGAGAATCAGATGCACTAAGAAGACAAACGGTAATTAATTAATAGTCCAAAATTTACCTGTTCTATCTACCAGGTGTATGAAAAAGAAACACAGAAAAAAACAGCTACCCTCCAGCCTCTAATTCAATATACTCTCCTCTTCCTAAATGTTTTTAATTTGTTTTGCCATCTTCAAAAAATGAAATGACAAATTGAATTTGTTTTCAGGCTGCCATTGGCTCAGTGGCTTTATCAACTGCACGTGACAAAAAGAAACCGGTTTTTGAAAGATATGGACTAACGGTAAGTTACTTTAAAAAAAAAAAAATTTACTCACTTCCTTGGCAGGGGTTTGAAGAGACAAGACTTAGCTCATCTCCAGCCCAGTCTGGAGGGAGAATGAGTGGTCTGGTGTGATTAGGGTTGCCAATCATTGTTTCATTTGCTTGATTTTCCCCAACATGTTCTGTTTTCTTGATTTGCCCCAATGTGACTAGATTCGCCAATCATTATTCTGTTTGCTTGATTTGCCCTGGCAGGACTAAGATCACCAATCATTGTTCCGACTGCTCGATTTGCATCAGCAAGTGTATTCTGAAAAGTTATTTAATCAGTAATTGTTTGTTTACATATAAACCTACAAAATTTATCGCAATACTGACATAACTAACCTACAGGCCTGTCAGGAAGAACATGCACAGTCAGCAGTCAAATGCTGATTTTCATGGATCTTACTGTGTAAGAAATGGAGTATGCTAAATGATGTAATTTTTCAGTTTATTAAATGAAAGTGAGTTAATGTTGTTGGTAGTGACTTTTTATATACATAATTATATATATATATATATATATATATATATATATATATATATATATATATATATATATATATTTAAAATGTTGTTTGTCTGTCGTAAAATTACCTCACCCAGGAAATTTCTCACCCGATTTCATGCGGTTTTCAACATAAGTTTGCAAATGGTTGTCGTAAGGACATGACAGAACCTGATTTTTGAGTTCGGTCTCAGGTTTCGAAAAAATCGATAATCGAAAAAATTTGCTTACAGAAGGAATGATCACATTTCAACCAAATTTGACACCCTCTTAGAGTCTACCATTAGAAGCTTTGTTCAGAAGTTTCATGACCACAGATTCCTAAACAGCGCGGAAAATCGATAAAAACCGATACACCCAGATTGTGCCTGAACCGCATATCGGTTTTTAGCAAAAACCGACCGGATTTATGAGGAGGCCATTGGGAATCACCATGTGAAGTTTCGACTCTGAGTGCCATTAACGCATCTGTCCTTGGATTAATTGACAACTTCCTGCTACCGTAAGTTACCTACTTGCTTAAACGTTTGCATTACCCATTTTATCTCCGCGTGCTGCCTCTACTGCGCAGCCCAGTCCATCTTAGCGTTCCATGCTCATTTCTACCTTTTTGTAGTTCTGTTTTGCTATTAGTTAACTGCTGTTGCAAGTTACTTATTTACACAAACGTTTGCCCAACTTATTTTTACCTCCATGTTTATTTTTTAAAGGAAGTATCAAAAAAAATATTTTAAGTCAATGATAGCGATTGCTGTATGAGTTGTAATTTTTTTTGAATCAAGCACGGGCAACGCCAAGAGTGTGTGTGTATATATATATATATATATATATATATATATATATATATAAAATTTTTTTTTTATTTTATTTTGTATATTTGTTTATTTTTTTAATTTTTAAAGGTTATGAGTTGACGTTTTTTATTTTTTTTATTTTTTCTGGTTTGAAAAAAAACATTTCTTTTAAGAAAGAAGATATTTTTAAAAAATCCAAGGAATAAGTTAATATTTTTGCAAGAATCAACTTATACCCTGCAAGTTTACAAATATCTCCTTTCTTGAAAGAAATACTCTTTTCTCAAACCAACATACTTTTTATGATCAGACAAGTTTTAATTTATCTTAATTTTTGCAAACATGCACACACGTTATACATTCAATTTTTTTTTTTTTTTTTTGCAATAGTTTGTCTAATTCATTCTCCAACTTTTTTATCACGTTCAACTTAAATATAGGTAAAATGTCTTTAAAATTTCCTTTCAGATTCTTGAAGTGGCTGTCCTGGTCATTTTGATAACCGCTCCCATTGGTGCTGCATTGGTGATGCTCACAGGTCCAAGATTACTGAACAGAACGGATCCTTCCTCACCAACCCATGAAAAAATCCATCAAGACGAACAACAAGAAATGGAAGTTCAAACTGCAACAGAATCTATAAACACGTCTCTGTGATATTTGGTCTTTGAGTTAAAAAAAAAAAAAAATTTCTTCTAGTCTGCTTTTAATATAAATATTTTAGAACCCTTTCTGGGGATATTTTTATACAAGATTTTATAAGGTTTTCATTTTTTTTCCCTACTGCAAACATATCAATGTATTTAATATAAAATGACCTCAAAAGCTTCTTTTTTTTTTTTTTTTTTCTTTAATTTTTTGGTTTCTTTATTTTTTTTGTCAAATGAACATTTGAATAAAATAGACTTTTATAATATTCAGGGCAAAGTTAGTTCCATCTCAAGAAATGGTTTTTGGAAATAATCTATTTTTATCTATGCAAAAAAAAGCAGAATTTTCCCTTGTTTTATTGTTTTTTATTTGTTTCTTTCTTTTTGTTTTGTTGTTTTTCGGGATGTTTTTTTGTTTTGTTGGTTTTTTTTTTTTTTTTTATTCATTTTTAATTGGGTTTATTTGATTTTTTTTTTTTTTTTTTTTTTTTTTGCTTTTTTTTTTTTTTTTTTTTAGTTTCTTTTGTTTTGTGTTTTGCTGGTTTTCTTGGATTTTTTTTTTTTTTGTACATTGTTTATTGAACTTTGTTTTTTTTGTACTTTTTGTTTGCATTTTCTTGGATTTTTTTTTTTTTTGTTCATTTAATCAAATCATCAAATGTTTCAGTTTATGGATGCAATCTCCAGTCAAAAATTATTAATATTTGTTCTACTGTAAAACTAGTACAAACAAAATTTTAAGCAAAACAGAAGATAAATTTAAAAATGACTAGTTTTCAAACATAAAACTAGACTTTGTTCCCTGCAGATAAAACTTAGCAAAGAATATTTTAGACTTAATAATACTCAACTGATCACTAATCCTTTTTTTATTATTGGGTTTTTATATATTGATTATATATATATATATATATATATATATATATATATATATATATATATTGATAATATTTAGATCTATATATTTCTTTCATTAGGGAAATAAAACATCAAACTGAGAGGTGTTTAGACGTTAATTTAGAATTGGTAAAACCCCTACCGAAATCCTTCTCTTAAGTACATCTTATGTGGCAAGAAATAAGGTTTTCTAGTCTTCCTCAGGCATGTGTCAGCCTTAATATTTTTTTTTTCTCTGGTAACCACTTGCAAACTGTTCAAGTGACAAGATGCTATCACTTGATGGTGCTTAAACAAACAATGATAAGGATGTGAGAATAATTTATCAAATATTGACAATAGTTTACCTCTGGCCTCCAGACAACACAGAAAATGGGAAAATCTTGGAACTACGTACCTACAAAAAATGGAGTGTTTTTCCCTTGACACTGCTATTATTTTAACTACCTTCACTACTCAGCAATGTTTATTGCTTTAAGAATGATTAGAATTGGAATAAAACCTAAACGTATGAAAGTGAATTTATACATTTTCTTTGTTCATGAGAATTGAAAACAAAAATAATAAACACTATTATATTGTTTATTTACACTATTTATTATGTTATTGTTTATTGGAATGGTTGGCAAAACATCAGCCGTCAATTAATTCAAACTTTATTAAATGGTAAATAATAAGAATTTCCTTATCGTTAGTTCACATATTTTAATAATTTAGTAAATGTTTATAAATTTGTGAATGAAAAATTGTTTTCATATTTATTTCTTTATAAATTGGTAAATGATAAATATGCATTTTTTTTTATTGCATTATTTTTTGAATTTTTAATTTATAAAGTTTTTAGAATGTTGTAAATATAAAATTATTCTTGTAAATAAACAATCTAATAAATAAATTTCACTTTTTTTATATTTTTTTTTTTAAATTCTCAAAAAAAAAAAAATGTATAAATTCATTTTTTATCATATGTTTAGGTTTTATTACAATTTTAATCATCGTGTTTTTTAAAACAATAAAGGATTGACAACACAACTTGAAGGATACAGTCATAAAATAATAAGTAAATCATTTAAGGGAAAAACCGTGGTCTTTTTTTTTTTTCATTTTTTTATCTTTTTGGTCATTTGATTCGTATTGTTGAAGTTATAATAATATGACAGATTGAACATTTCAGTTTTTTCATTTATTTACATCTTTAAGATATACTGAAAAAATTCTTTTGTGTAAAAAAAAAAAAAAAAAAGAAGTGAATTTAGAATTGTCATACCTGAAGTACCTATTCTATTATTAATCCATTTCCCACACATAATTTTAATTATTGCCAGTTGAGCTCAGTGGTGTTGTTTAATCAATATTCTATCTTCAACCATCACAACTAGATTGCTGCGCCATTAAATTTCAGTTTCCTAACAACATTCTTCTAATTTAGTCCCTCACAAAAACAAGGAAAGCTTCTCTCAACAAAATAATTTTCCAAAGAGGTTTGCTGCTTTGAAATAACAAAAAAATACCTTGGTTAAAAAATAGTTAAAAGAATAATTTTTCATGGGCATTGTTTGGACAGCTGAAACATTTATTCATCAAAATTTGTTATCAAAATATTTCAGCCAATCCTGTTTTTTTTGGGGGAAAATTATGTATGGGTGGTGTATTAAATTTAACTGCTCAGAATGAGAAATAAGAGACAAGTTTGAATTCCAATCATATTTCTTTATCCACAAAAAAGGTGTCAATCCATCTCCTCCTTTTCCATTATTACTATATCTTTAAACAATGTCAGGCCTGGTCAGTACTTAGATGCATGATAATTTTCTTGGGTTCAGATTGATATAATGGATAATTCCTCGGAAGTATTAATTTGAAAGCCAAATTTTTTTTTTTTTTTTTCGCAATTTTACATGCAAATGCCATTAGAAAAGGTATGAAATTATTTTCCCTTTGAATCTATAGATTTAATTAGTAAGATAAAAATTGAAAAGCATATTTATCAAAAAACATTTGAATTAACCTTTAAAATAATTTTGAAAAGTAAATTGATGAGATTTAAAAAATTAAATTTTTATATGCAATGGTGACTAATTTTTGCAAAGATTTTGTTGACCCATTCATTGTCAAAAGTCTCCAATTGGAATATCCAAAAAAAAGAAAATTTAAATATCCATAGGATAAGGCAAATTGATTTGCAATTATTTATTTTTTTAAATAGCAGTATGAATAAAAATGTAAATAGCTTTTTAGATTTTCATCTTTTGATGTATCTGGTGAAGGCTAATGTTTCACCCAGATGCCATAACTTCCAGTCATTGTCCCTAACCTTTTTTATAATACTTTTTATTAAATGTCAAATTTAAGAGAGATTTATACATACAATGGTGATGTATCTAAAGGCTAATGTTTACCCAGATTTATATTCTGTCTTAGTCATTGTCCCTAGCCTCAATCTATAATACTGGAAAACCAAATGTAAATTAAACACAAAGAATTTTAAAAAAAAATTGATGTATCTGTTTTTAATGTTTACCCAGATGCCATAGAAAAAATCATTGTCCCTAGCCTCAATCCAGTGGAATACTGGAATATTTTGTATGCCCAAATTGAGGGTTAAAAGCAATGGTGAATCATTTAATAATTTTTAAAATGTTTACCCAGATGCCATAACTCCCAGTCCTTAAGATTAGCCTCAATCCATAATTTGGAATATTAAATGGATAAATAGCATAATTTATTTATCAATGGTGATGTAAATAGACTAATTTTTACCCAGATGCCATAGACTCCCAATCATTGTCCCTAGCCTCAATCCATAATACTGGAATATTAAAATGTAAATTTAAGAAATTTTTATAACCAATGGAAATGTATCTGGTAGGCTAATGTTTACCCAGATGCATTAGACTATTTTTTGTCCCTATTTCAATTTATAATACTGAATATTAAATGTAAATAGCAGAGAGATTTATAAGCAATGGTGATGTATAAATTAGGCTAATGTTTTTCAGATGCCTTGATTTTTATATTATTAAAAAAAATCCATAAATTTGGAATATTAAATGTAAATAGCAGAGAGATTTATAAGCAATGGTGATGTATCTGGTAGGTTTTTTTACCACAGATAATATAGACTTAAATATTGTCCCTAGCCTCAATTTATAATACTGGAATATTAAATGAGAAAAATAGCAAAGGATTTATAAGCAATGGTGATAATCTTTTTTAATGTTTACCCAGATTTATTTATTTTCAGTCCTTATCTAGCCTCAATCCATAATACTGAATATTAAATGTAAATAGCAGAGGGATTTATAAGCAATGGTGATGTATCTGGAATTAATAAATCAGATGCCATGAATCTTAATCCCAATGGATTATTTAGATTCAATCCATAATACTGGAATATTAAATGTAAAAAATAGCAGACAAAAATTAAAGCAATGGTGATGTATTTGGTAATTTAATTTTTACCCAGATGATAAATAGACAATTGTCTTATCCCTAGCCTCAATCCATAATACTGGAATATTAAATTTATTTTAGCAGAGGATTTATAACAATGGTGATGTATCTAATAGGAAAATGTTTGACCCAGATGGCATAGAACTCCCAGTCATTATTGAGCCTCAATCCATAATACTTAATATTAAAATGTAAATATTTAGTTTTTTATAAACAATTTTGAAAATATCTTTAGGCTAATTTTCCCAAATGCCATAAAAAATCAGTATTTATTTTAAACCTCAATCCATAATACTGGAATATTATTTAAAATAGCAAGAATTTATTTAAAATGGTGATGTATCTGGTAAGGCATTTTGTTTACCCAGATGTTAAGATTCCTGTAGAAATCCCTATTTTCAATCCATAATAAAAATATTAAATGTAAATAGCAAAGGGATTTATATACATAATTTTGAAAATCTGGTAGGCTAATTTTCATTAAGATGCCATAGACTCAAAAGTCCTTATTAATTAGTTTCAATCCATAATACTGGAATATTAAATGTAAATTTTATAAGGATTTATCTTCAAATTGAATGTATCTTTTAAAGAAAATGTTTTACCCAGATGCCATAATTTTTCAAAATTTTTATCCCTCAACCTCAATCCATAATA